CCTATTTTACAAATGGAAATGAGGCACCCAAAAACATGCTGAGGTTATGTAGCAGAGCGGTAGAGCTGGGATTGAACCCAGGGTCAGGCTCCTCCAGAGTCACCCAGTAAAATGTGATGCTCTACAATGCTGACCTACATAAGGTTCTAGGCTCATGTCCAGAAACCTCCCTAGTATGTTAGCATACGTGTGCACATGGTATGGGGGCTGGCTAAAGCCTGGGCAGATAGTGGCACTGAGATCCTGTTGTGGGTACTGTTTCTCACTCATGGAATAAAAAAAAAAATTTTTTTTTTTGAGAGGTTTTCGCTATAGGGCGCGTGCGCTCGCCAGACAGACAGAGAGACATAGAGAGGACAGAAAGCGAGAAATCACCCCCCAGGGGGGATAGTCACGCCGCAATTCCTTCTCCTCCATTCTCCTCTCGGGATCTTGGGCACACGCACCCGGCGTGAGTTTTAAGCCACCGGGTCCGGGTCACGAACTGTGGTCGACTACGTGGGAATCCAGCGACATAGCCATTACGCTAACTGCTGGTTCCCAATAAAAAAAGTTTTGAGATTTAACAGAGACAGAAAGCGAGAAATCACCCATTAGGGTGGATGGCCACGTCGCAATCCCTTCTCCTCCATGAATTTCGGACATGCACACACAGGCACTTAGCGTGAGTTTCAAGCCACTGAGCCTGGGAGACTGAAACCGCAGTCGTCCATGTGGGAGTCCAGTGACGTAACCATCGTGTCATCTGCTGGTCCCAGCTCATGGAAGAAGAGAAGAGAATGAAGGGATTGAAGCATGGCCATCCCCTCGGGGTGGGGGGGTGGGGGGGGTGATTTCTCACTTTCCGTCTCTCCGGAGAGCACACACATTCTACAGAAAAAAACCCTAAAGAATAAAAAGTGTTTCACAACATATTCTCTACTACTCTATATCTAAACAGAATGAATTTATGAGTGAGTGAATCTGAAGTTCTTTCCCTTTTCAACTTACACTATAGAATGAGTCACATGGGGCTTCAAAACATTCGCGGAAAAATGGAATTATAGCATAAGTTTATTTTGGTGCAAAAAAATTGAAATCCACATTTTTTTCCTAACATGCATTCTCAGGAAGTTAAAAAAAATGCCTCTTATTTAATAATTTATTTTTGTTGTTGAACACATCTTTTTAACTAGCAAATGCAGATTTGATGAAAAAATTCACGGCCACCCTAGTAAGCACTGTTGCATAATTTAATCAGCTTCCCTGACTACCACCATCTTTCTCGTTTCTAAAAAGTTTCTGGCATAAGGAACATATGCTCGCTGGAGAGAGACAGTAAGAAATCACCTCTTGGGAGGATGGCCATACTGCAACCCCTTCTCCATTCTCCTCTTGGGATTCTGGGCATGTCTGCATGTGCGTCCAGCATAATTTTCAAGGCACCTGGTCCGGAACTCCACCTGCAGCAGCCATGTGGCAGTCCAGCACCTTCACCACGCCACCGGCTGGGCCCCCTCCCCCATCTTTCTCATTTTTAAGAAATAACTTTGCAGTTACCAAGAAAGGTATCATCATTAAAGGAAAAAAATATGTAAAGTGAAGTGCCCAAATTATTTCAATGTCCAGTTCCTGTGCTCTCCTTCTGACCCATTTCTGATGCCTTTCCCAAGCCTGGGCATATGTAGTTTCCGGCTCAGTCCTTACAGGAACAAACAGTAGGATAATGCTTTATTTTAATACCCATCCTGCATCATGTTTACAGCTCTGCAAATCTTCCTGGACAAGGAACCTGATTAGGACAGTGTCTTTGGAGAAGCCCAATTTATATGTGCTAACGTCAATCCAAGGGCATCTCAGGATTTGCTGAAATGGGTAAAACAAATTCCCCAGTGTTTGATCTTAGTTCAAAGTGTTTCACTAGCCCAGGGATGTGGCCACATTTTATTCATAAGCTTCCCTAAGAACTCTGGACATTACATTGTGTTCTTTTTCCTCAAGTAAGTTAAAGCCAAAAAAATTAAGTTTGACATAGACCATCCATTCTGCCTCCTGGCCTTTAGACATATTGTTCCTTCGGTCAGGACCTCCTCACAACTCTCTCACTCCCTCTTCAGGCCCTGCTCCTACATAACCTTCTCAGCACTACTGACATGCCACCTCCTCTGGGAAACCTTCTTTGACCTCCAAGGTGATTAAGCATCTCTTCTGTATACACCTGGTAACCAGCACTTAATATCTACTTCAGCCGCCCATTTCTCTCTCACCTAGCGTGTAGTGATCACTTTTTTTTTTTTTTAACCTAACTTACCCCCGGAAATTAAAGCAGTAATATTTTTTTTAGAGGTTTTTGCTATAGGGCGTGTGTGCTCGCCAGAAAGACACAGAGAGACAAAGAGACAGAAAGCGAGAAATCACCCCCCAGGGGGTATGGCCACACTGCAATCCTTTCTCCTCCATTCCCCTCTCAGGATCTTGGGCACGCACGCCACGCACCTGGTGTGAGTTGAAGCCACCGGGTCCGGGACTTGGACTGCAGTGGACTACATGGGAGTCCAGCAACATAGCCATTATGCCAACTGCTGGTCCCACACTTGTTTCTGAGAAAGTTGTGCCCTGGAGCTTTTAAACTTGGCAGTTTACAATCTCAAGAACGGTAAAAATAATGGGCTTTTGGGCTTTGGTGTTGAAGTAGTAAGTGTCTGGCATCCAACTCTAGCACTAAAGGCTGTGTGACCTTGAACTCAACATCTTGGAGGCAGTTCCAGTATTTGGAAAATAAAGATCTACTTCACCATGAAGATTAAAGGCTAGAAATGCAAAGTGCATCACCTGTCCAAGTCCCTGCTCACCAAGTGTCAGTCAGCCACCGTTAACAGTTCCCAAGGGCAATTTAATTTTATCAAAGGAAGAAATTTAATCAATAGAAGAGAAAGAATATCGTCAATTGACTGAAAACTATCCAAAACTTCTCTCGTAATATGCACCTTCACCTACAATGAGATTTGTCTGTAATTTATGCTTAATATTTACCTATAGTTCTTTACATATTCAGTATCAAAATAAACCTAAAATGGTTTGAAGATGTGTGTGACTCATTTAAACTACTCTAATAAAAACCCAGAGATTTCAGAAAGAATGTTGGCATCATAAGGGAGTATTTGTTATGCCAGGAAATTAATAGTACAGTAAATGTCACTGAATACTATTCCATTTTAATCTGTATGAGATTGGTAACTTCAGTTCATCCAAATCTCTAAGCATCAAATTTAAAATGGCTTAGAAAGTATTTTGAAATTATTTACTTAATACTAAATTGCCTTCAGAGCCAGTGAAGAATCCAGTAATGTAGTTGAGTTTTTAAACCCTTCCTTTTAAGATCCTTAGACAGGAACCAAGACTCTTAGCAGCTGAATGTTGCCAGTTTAACTGGGGGAGACCCACAGACAATGCTCAGGAACAAAGACTCTCTAACGAATTCTTCAACCCTGGATCACTCAGAGTCCCAAGAGGAAATGTGTCCCATTTCCTTGTACTTGTCTGTGAAGATAAACTAAATGTTTCTTCAAAGCCAAAGGATTACACAAGGGACTATTCTCTTAGCATCTGTATCAACTAGAAGTATACTAACATGTGCAACCACACTGTACATTCGCTAATTAGACATTTATTAATCTCTACATACTCTAAATCAGAAGCCATCCAGGTACCAATGGGATGCCAATATGAAGGAAACGATGTATTCTTGCCTTCAAAAAGCTCTCAGTTTAGAATGGCACTGTACCCTAGTAGCTAAAGAAGCCAGATCCCACATGGCTGACTCTGGTTTGAATCCCAGCCCTGGAGGCTTCAAAGCACCCAAGGCACATGTATGTGTATACACACCCCCAAATCCTGACAGGATAGAGAAATGGAGAAGGACTGTGGCATGACCAGACCCAATGAGGCAGGGGGAGGCACTTTCTCTCCCTCTCTCTGGCAAACAAACAAAAAACTCTTGGCTTAAATTTCACTTGCAAAAATGTAACATTTTAAGCCATCACTTACTTATAATTTAAGGAGGTGCTAACTCACCACTGAAGCGAAAGACATCAGAGAAAGGGAATAGAGGAAAAGTACACTGAGGTATTAGCGAGGCAGGAGATGAGACCAGTAAAAATGAAGGAAAAGGAAACACATGATCCAAGCTTTGGGAGTCAGAGATCCTTACAGTCCAGATCTTCCAATTACTACATCATAAACAATGCTGGTCTCTGTGATTGGTATGTATTTTATAATTTAAAATTTGAATTACCAAAAAACGTGCTTTCTTTAAAGGGCTTTTGGGACGACCAAATGAGAATATGTGTATGTGTGTACATACAGTGCTTACTACTGGGATGCACATCATATACTAGTTTTTAAAAATGTTCATCTTCTCGATATTGTCAATACAATTTTTTTAAAGAACAATTTTTAAATCTTTATTTATTTTAATCTGACCAGAGAGAGACAGAGTGAGAGAGAGAAAGTGAGCGAGTGAGAGCGAGAGAGGGAAAGTGAGAAAGCAAGCCACCAGGTCTAGGATTAAAATCGCAGTTGGCCATGTGGGAGTCCTGTGCCCTTAACCAGCATGTCCACCTGGCGGCCCCTCAATACAACTTTGTTAATATAATTTACACTACTAAGAAGTCTGTCAATACAATTTTGTTCATGATCTCAATAATGCTGAATGTCAGACTGACTGGAGTTAATGACAAGAGTAAAAGCTTCCAGGGACCAGCAGCTGGCGTAATGACTATGACGCTGGACTCCCATGTAGTCGACCGTGGTTTGAGTCCTGGACCCAGTGGCTTAAACTCATGCTGGGCACGTGTGCATGCGTGCCCAGGATCTAGAGAGGAGAATGGAAGACAAGGGATTGCGGCATGGCCATTCCTCCCAGGGGGTGATTTCTTGTTTTCTGTCTCTCTGTCTTTCTCTGTCTTTCTGGCGAGCGCAAGCGCCCTATAGGAAAAAACCTCTACCAAAAAAAAAGTAAATGATTATCCATGGCCATGAAATTTCTTTAATATCTTTTTCTCCATGATTGAACATACAAAGAAAATGGAAGTAATGTATTCTTCTGCTGTAAAGATGGGTGAAATATATCAAAATCCACTCGCTGAATTTTCTTTAAATAGTCCTCTACAGGAACCTGGAAAAAGAGAACAGCGGTCACTAGATCATAAAGTGATCAAGTCTTTAGAAGAAACTAGAGGAAAAAGTATAAATAGTAAGGTTACTTTCATTTCCCTGAGATAGTCTACATGTTAAGAATTCAAATGAGAATTTTAAAAGGTAGAGAAAATAAAGCTCTCACTATGAAATTTCTATGAAATAAGTAAAGAATATCACAGAGTTAGTACTGGGAGTATCAAGCCTCTTCCGCTCATAATACATATTCTGCTCAAGAAGTAAATGATTAGGGGCCAGCAGATGACATAATGGTCACATCACTGAACTCCCATGTAGTCAACTGTGGTTGAAGTTCCAAACTTGACAGTTAAAACTTACACCAGGCATGTATGCGTGTGTGCCCAAAAATCCCAAGAGGAGAGTGAAGGAAAAGGGACTGTGGTGTGGTCATCCCCCATGGGGGGTTATTTCTCACTTTCTGTCTCTCTGGCAAATGCGCACACCCTGTAGCAAAAATCTAAAAAATAAAAAGAAGTATACTTATATACTAAATTTTGTGGAATACAAAAACGATTTTCCACTGGGGAAAAAAGAAACATCTTCCCCCACCCCCAGCCCCCATGTGTAGAATACCATGAGAGGAAGCTTTTAAAAAATTATTTTGCAAAAATGTTTGCTGGGTCTCCCTGTCCTTTCTAGAGAACATCATTTTCAACTAGGGAGAACAGTCATAGGTCCCTATAAATGTCACTCCTTCCTTTTCTGTCATATAATAATTTTCATAGGATAGATGCAGGGTAGACTGAAGATAGGCAGTACTATTTTTTAGTTTTCAGTTATTTTTATTTTCAGTTTAATAACTTTTTTTATTAAGCAGGGAAGTCAGTTTTACACTCCACAGCTCTCAGAGGCACCACTCCCTTCTCACCGACAGGCATAGCGCCCCCTAGAGTTCTGCAATGCAGGGTCAGGGAGATCCAACATGGGGATCACACCTGCCGACTCTTTGGATTATACATGGAAAAGAAAAGAAAAAATACTGTGTTTTCTTCCAGACGGTTCCCTATACATTTATACACATGAATATGAATACAAATAAATTTACTATCTACTTTTTAAAACCCTAAATTTACATATATGTACAGCTGGAGATAACATGCATGAATGTGCACAGCTGCCCTGTTTTAGCTTAGAATAAATACACAAGTAACCTTGGAAACAGCCCAGAAATTCTCAGACAAAAAAAAAGACAAAACAGATTTCTCACACAATAAAATACCAGGTCATCGGGAAAGTCATGACACATTTTCGCACAGGAAAACATAGAAAAATACATGACTTTCCCAATGACCTAATATGACGCTGTAGAGAAATGAATGCACTATATCTGGACACAATAATGAGCACAACTCTTAGAACCATTAAGCGTGTGTGTCCTAGAAGACATAAACAGAAAATGATCATTTTTATAAAGCTCAAAAGCAAAACAAAGCAATAAATCGCTCAGGAGTATATAAAATCAGAAAAGCCTCTGGGAATAAAAGGAAGGGAGCAATAAATACGAAACTGAAGACTGCTACTTGGAAGAAGGCAGAGGCAGGAGGGTGAGATGGGAAAACACATATGAGCGCACTTAATGGTGACATTCTAGTTCCTTGATGGGGTGGTGAGTTCACGGATGCTAATTACATCATGCTTTGTAATGCATTCATACACATATATAGGTATACCAAGTTCACTTGCAGATTGCAAATATTAAACATTTATTTAAAAGAGAATAAAGAAAAACTTTGAAAGTATTTCAGTATATCTTCTTTCACATCCTCTTTCTTTTTGCAAAAACCAGCTTGAGGCTTTCATGCTCTGCAAATGTACTTGTTTTCTTTATAAGTTTTATTCATAACAGACAGCACAAGCATGTGAGAGAGAGAGAGAGGCCCTCTGAACTCCTCTCAACAGGGTCTCATCCTGCTAAGATCCCCTTCCCCAGGTCCTCTAGCTCATCGGGATCTCGGGCACCCAGGTGCATTTCCAGCATGTTTTCAAGCCAGCCCAGACCTGAACCTGCAGTAGCCCATGTGGCTTTCAGTTCTGCAGTTCAGTTGCTAATAATATAAATCGCACTACCAAACCGGGTCTGTAACATTATCACTTAAAATACTGTGTGATCAACTTTCTATCTCTAAGAATTCTGTTACTTTTAATACGTTAATAATATACTAAAAATAAGGAATTGTTAATGAAATTAAGGTATAAGCACATGATAGAATATTGTATAACCTTAGATTTTATATTATAAATATTTGTAATGATGCAATAAAATGCTTGATAAACAAGATACTGACATAAAGTGTGATTTTTAACCCTACACAAAAAGAGGAGAGGGGTGGATGGCAGCACCTGGACACACAGTGGAAGGTCCCAGGTTCCTGTCCTGAGACCTTCTTGCACGTGCAGGGCGTGTGTACATGTGTTCCCGTGATCTGGGCCGGCTGAGGCTGAGGGTGGATGTTGGTGTGAAGATCCTGTTGGGGATGCCCCTCTCTGTCTCTTGTGGAAGAAATAAGTAAATAAATTTTTTTAAAAGAGAAGAGAATGAATAGTGGTTATCACTGTGTGCTAGAATTACAGATGATTCTCATTTTCATCTACTACTCTTTTATATTATGTAAGCCTTTATTATGGAGAATATACTGCTTTTATAATCAGAAGAAAATTCATTAAAATGCAGATGAAATGTTACTTCAAAATTAGAGCTCGAATGTACATTTACAAATTAGGATTTGGTTCCAAAGAAAGTTCAGCTAATGGTAAATAAATTGAGGAAAAAATTAATTATAAAATTCTCAAAGACATTACGAGGTCTGAATATGGCTTTTTGTTTTGTTTTGTTTTGTTTTTAGTTTTTGTATAGGGTGCAGTATGATTGACAGAGAAAGAGGAAAAAAAGTGAGAATTCACCCCCAGGAAGATGGCCACACTGCATTCCTTTCTTCCACTGTCCTCCTGGGATCCTGGGCACATACACACATATGTCTAGCATGATTTTCTTTCTTTTTTTTTTAGAGAGGTTTTTGCTATAGGGCGTGTGTACTCACCCGAAAGACAGAGACAGAGAGACAGAAAGCAAGAATCACCCCCCAGGAGGGATGGCCACGCCACAATCCCTTCATTCTTCTGCTGTAAAGATGGGTGAAATATATCAAAATCCACTCGCTGAATTTTCTTTAAATAGTCCTCTACAGGAACCTGGAAAAAGAGAACAGCGGTCACTAGATCATAAAGTGATCAAGTCTTTAGAAGAAACTAGAGGAAAAAGTATAAATAGTAAGGTTACTTTCATTTCCCTGAGATAGTCTACATGTTAAGAATTCAAATGAGAATTTTAAAAGGTAGAGAAAATAAAGCTCTCACTATGAAATTTCTATGAAATAAGTAAAGAATATCACAGAGTTAGTACTGGGAGTATCAAGCCTCTTCCGCTCATAATACATATTCTGCTCAAGAAGTAAATGATTAGGGGCCAGCAGATGACATAATGGTCACATCACTGAACTCCCATGTAGTCAACTGTGGTTGAAGTTCCAAACTTGACAGTTAAAACTTACACCAGGCATGTATGCGTGTGTGCCCAAAAATCCCAAGAGGAGAGTGAAGGAAAAGGGACTGTGGTGTGGTCATCCCCCATGGGGGGTTATTTCTCACTTTCTGTCTCTCTGGCAAATGCGCACACCCTGTAGCAAAAATCTAAAAAATAAAAAGAAGTATACTTATATACTAAATTTTGTGGAATACAAAAACGATTTTCCACTGGGGAAAAAAGAAACATCTTCCCCCACCCCCAGCCCCCATGTGTAGAATACCATGAGAGGAAGCTTTTAAAAAATTATTTTGCAAAAATGTTTGCTGGGTCTCCCTGTCCTTTCTAGAGAACATCATTTTCAACTAGGGAGAACAGTCATAGGTCCCTATAAATGTCACTCCTTCCTTTTCTGTCATATAATAATTTTCATAGGATAGATGCAGGGTAGACTGAAGATAGGCAGTACTATTTTTTAGTTTTCAGTTATTTTTATTTTCAGTTTAATAACTTTTTTTATTAAGCAGGGAAGTCAGTTTTACACTCCACAGCTCTCAGAGGCACCACTCCCTTCTCACCGACAGGCATAGCGCCCCCTAGAGTTCTGCAATGCAGGGTCAGGGAGATCCAACATGGGGATCACACCTGCCGACTCTTTGGATTATACATGGAAAAGAAAAGAAAAAATACTGTGTTTTCTTCCAGACGGTTCCCTATACATTTATACACATGAATATGAATACAAATAAATTTACTATCTACTTTTTAAAACCCTAAATTTACATATATGTACAGCTGGAGATAACATGCATGAATGTGCACAGCTGCCCTGTTTTAGCTTAGAATAAATACACAAGTAACCTTGGAAACAGCCCAGAAATTCTCAGACAAAAAAAAAGACAAAACAGATTTCTCACACAATAAAATACCAGGTCATCGGGAAAGTCATGACACATTTTCGCACAGGAAAACATAGAAAAATACATGACTTTCCCAATGACCTAATATGACGCTGTAGAGAAATGAATGCACTATATCTGGACACAATAATGAGCACAACTCTTAGAACCATTAAGCGTGTGTGTCCTAGAAGACATAAACAGAAAATGATCATTTTTATAAAGCTCAAAAGCAAAACAAAGCAATAAATCGCTCAGGAGTATATAAAATCAGAAAAGCCTCTGGGAATAAAAGGAAGGGAGCAATAAATACGAAACTGAAGACTGCTACTTGGAAGAAGGCAGAGGCAGGAGGGTGAGATGGGAAAACACATATGAGCGCACTTAATGGTGACATTCTAGTTCCTTGATGGGGTGGTGAGTTCACGGATGCTAATTACATCATGCTTTGTAATGCATTCATACACATATATAGGTATACCAAGTTCACTTGCAGATTGCAAATATTAAACATTTATTTAAAAGAGAATAAAGAAAAACTTTGAAAGTATTTCAGTATATCTTCTTTCACATCCTCTTTCTTTTTGCAAAAACCAGCTTGAGGCTTTCATGCTCTGCAAATGTACTTGTTTTCTTTATAAGTTTTATTCATAACAGACAGCACAAGCATGTGAGAGAGAGAGAGAGGCCCTCTGAACTCCTCTCAACAGGGTCTCATCCTGCTAAGATCCCCTTCCCCAGGTCCTCTAGCTCATCGGGATCTCGGGCACCCAGGTGCATTTCCAGCATGTTTTCAAGCCAGCCCAGACCTGAACCTGCAGTAGCCCATGTGGCTTTCAGTTCTGCAGTTCAGTTGCTAATAATATAAATCGCACTACCAAACCGGGTCTGTAACATTATCACTTAAAATACTGTGTGATCAACTTTCTATCTCTAAGAATTCTGTTACTTTTAATACGTTAATAATATACTAAAAATAAGGAATTGTTAATGAAATTAAGGTATAAGCACATGATAGAATATTGTATAACCTTAGATTTTATATTATAAATATTTGTAATGATGCAATAAAATGCTTGATAAACAAGATACTGACATAAAGTGTGATTTTTAACCCTACACAAAAAGAGGAGAGGGGTGGATGGCAGCACCTGGACACACAGTGGAAGGTCCCAGGTTCCTGTCCTGAGACCTTCTTGCACGTGCAGGGCGTGTGTACATGTGTTCCCGTGATCTGGGCCGGCTGAGGCTGAGGGTGGATGTTGGTGTGAAGATCCTGTTGGGGATGCCCCTCTCTGTCTCTTGTGGAAGAAATAAGTAAATAAATTTTTTTAAAAGAGAAGAGAATGTATAGTGGTTATCACTGTGTGCTAGAATTACAGATGATTCTCATTTTCATCTACTACTCTTTTATATTATGTAAGCCTTTATTATGGAGAATATACTGCTTTTATAATCAGAAGAAAATTCATTAAAATGCAGATGAAATGTTACTTCAAAATTAGAGCTCAGCTCGAATGTACATTTTTAGGATTTGGTTCCAAAGAAAGTTCAGCTAATGGTAAATAAATTGAGGAAAAAATTAATTATAAAATTCTCAAAGACATTACGAGGTCTGAATATGGCTTTTTGTTTTGTTTTGTTTTGTTTTTAGTTTTTGTATAGGGTGCAGTATGATTGACAGAGAAAGAGGAAAAAAAGTGAGAATTCACCCCCAGGAAGATGGCCACACTGCATTCCTTTCTTCCACTGTCCTCCTGGGATCCTGGGCACATACACACATATGTCTAGCATGATTTTCTTTCTTTTTTTTTTAGAGAGGTTTTTGCTATAGGGCGTGTGTACTCACCCGAAAGACAGAGACAGAGAGACAGAAAGCAAGAATCACCCCCCAGGAGGGATGGCCACGCCACAATCCCTTCTCCTCCATTCTCCTCTCGGGATCTTGGGCACGCATGCACATGCGCCTGGCGTGAGTTTTAAGCCACTGGGTCCGGGACGTGAACCGTGGTCAACTACATGGGAGTTCAGCGACATAGCCATTATGCTAATTGCTGGTCTCCCCCTAGCATGATTTTCAAGTTGCTGGGTCCAGGACTTGAACTATGGAGTTGACCACACAGGATCTAGCACCTTAACTTCCATGCTAACCTGCTGGTCCCTGAATATGGCTTTGTAAAGCCTCATCTATGCAGACAAATATACTATATCTAGACTAGACGTTTTCATGTAGTTTTTAAACTGCAAAAGTTTTTCTTTGAACAGAATGATTATCAGATACCCCGTATACAAGACAAATACAAAGCCCTGCCAGGCTGAAATGAGAGTATGATAGAAGCAGTGCCTTAGGACTGCCATGAGTCCCCATAGTTTCTCTTGACATAGCACAAAACAGAAAGCTGGGTCCAGCCCAAGTGTCTGATTCAGTAGGTCTGTGTATGGCTCAAGATGTGCATTTCTAACAGGTTCCCTGAAGAGGCAGATGTTGCTGGCCCAGGGACATTTTGAGAACTGTGGGTCTAAGACAGTGGTCTCTAGGCCTAGCTGCACTATATAATCACAGCAGAAGCACTAAACAGTATTAATACTGGGTCCAACCATTATAAGGTTATGATTTACTGGTTTGCAAAAGACCCCAAACATTGTTTTGTTGTTTTCACTGTCAGCATGTGAGCTTGCCAGAACAGAGTGAGGGAGAAAGTACCCTTGTGAGGTGTGATCATGCCACAATCCCTTCTGCTCCATTTCTTCATCCTGCCAGGATTTGGGACACACATGCACACATACCCAGACCCAGCCTATTTTTCAAGTCATCAAGAACAAGATTCGAACTGTGTGGTCAGTCATGTGGGATGCAGATTCTTTAACCACTAGGACACAGGGCTGGCCCTGTTCTTATTTCATTTTCTTAAATGTTTCCCAAGGGATTCTAACGGGCAGCCAAGGTTGAAAACATCTTTTTTCACAGAAGTGAATGAAACAAACTCTTTACCCTTTAAAAGGCTTATTTAATATTAAGTTCAACAGCCAATGGTACATCCACCAAATAAGCATTAAAATGGTATATAGAACAATACGTGTGACATATAGAAAAATGCATATATGACTTTATGTACATAAAGGTCCGAACAATATGTGACATATATAAAAAAATGCATACGACTTTATGTACATAAAAGTTCCAAAAAGGTGAACAGACATTATCTCTAGGTAAGATGGAACCATTGAGAATTCTGATTTCTTCTTCACATTCTCTTATAGTATGTGGACACTTAAAATATTAATATATAACTTTTAAAATAAATCCAAAAAAGAAACGAAATAATTTCAAAATATAGACTTGAAAACTAGGATACAAGATGTGAAGGGGCAGAAGTGGAATTTTAGGGAAAAAGAGTAGATGATAGCTCTGACATTAGAGAAAACACCTGAATGTATAACTTTCTAAGACTACACATCTTTGAACCTTGGTTTCTATCTATAAAATAAAATAAACCTATGTTTATTCCTAGGAACACTAAGACTAATGTATGGAATGATTCAACAGTTCCTGAACCAGGCTACACATCAGAATCACCTGGGGAAATTTGGTTATTCACCGATTCTCCTGGGAACTAGCCTCTTCAATCCTGAGAGTCTTATTTAGCAAGAAGATCCCAGAAATCTAAATTTTTAAAAAGCTTTCTCGGTTATTCTGATGCAGCGGACTTAGGACTGGTCTGTGAGCCACTATTTAGGAACCGATGCTACAATTTTGTTAGTTCACTGTGAAGATAAATTAATAGAATAGTGAGTAAATAGCATAACAATCCCATAAAGTAGGATTCCATTATTCCCATTTTATCTATGAGTAAACTGAGAAACAGAGGTTAAGGAACCTAGGATCCTGGGACCACCAGCAGTTGGCATAATGGCTATGTCGCTGGACTCCCAGGTAGTCAACCACGGTTCGAGTCACGGACACAGAGACTTAAACTCACGCCGGGCGCGTGTGCATGCGTGCCCAAGATCCTGAGAGGAGAATGGAGGAGAAGAGACTGCGGTGTGGCCATCCCTGCTGGGGGGTGATTTCTTGCTTTCTGTCTCTCTCTGTCTTTCTGGTGAATGCATGCATCCTATAGGGGGATAAAAAAAGGAACCTAGGATCCCATGCTTATATAGCAGTAAGAGAGAGCAGACTCAAACCAACCAGTTAGCTACAGCCTGAGCTAAGTATAACTCGACTCACCTGCCTCTGGGAAACACAGGAATGACCACTGCCAAGAGCATCATGCAATGAATAAAGCCCAGCACAAGAATGGGAAACAGAAACAAAGACTCCAAGCTAAGAATGCACTGTGAAGTTTCTAAAATACAAAAAAAGATCACACACATCTGCTTCACTAATTATATAGCCTTCTCTGTTAATCCACTTACCGTCTGAAGAAAAGCAGGAAATGCTTTCACAGGAACACTGCTGTGGAAGGACCTAGCCTAAAAAGGAAGAGAAAAGGAAATGGTTTGAAACGTTTCTGCAAAAAAACACTCTCCATCTGAAAGTGAACATGAAGCTATCCCTGCAGTCTAACAACACGAATAGAGCCTCTTTCAAAAGCAAGAAAGGAGCCAGCAGGTGGCATGGTGGTTGAGGCACTAGACTCCCACATTGGTTCAAGTCCCAGACCTGGTGGTTTGCTTTCTCACTCTCACTCTCTCTCTCTAGTCAAATTGAAAAATAATGGTAATAAATAAAACTAAATGATGAGCAAAATGATGAGCAAAAATAATGGTAATAAATAAAACTAAATGATGAGCAAAAATCTGCTCATCTCTTGCTGATTAAGATTAGTTTCCTGGGGCCAGCAGGTGGTGTGATGATTGAGATGCTAGACTCCCACATGACCAACCGTAGTTCAAATCCTGGACCTGGAGGCTTGTTTTCACTCTCTCTCTCTTTCTAGTCAGCACACAGACCCTATAGCAAATTAAAATAATAATAAGTAAAATTAAATAAATAATTCTTCAAAAAAAGTATTAGTTTCCTAAGCCTAGAGGGCTCAGGAAAAAATTACTATATTAAAAATTCCATTCTTCCTTACAGATTAGTTTTGGCACTTTCCAACTACCTTATGTTTTCTGATTACTTTTGCCCTCTAGTTCTGTGGTAAGAGGTAAATGAAGAAATACCTGAGTTAACAAGTCCCAGCAGCTCCCTGGTTTAGAGGAATATAAGATCCTCCTAAGTGATCATCCTGCCTCTGTTGCTCAATCTTTAATTCATTCCATACAGTCAGCCAAATTAATGTCTTTCTGTCATCATTTCGTTTTTGCTTTCTTTAATGCAACTCCCTGGTAGATCAAGCCTCAACTATTCATCCTGGAATTCAAAGGCCTCCATGCCTTGACTCGAATCTCATCTATCCAACCTAAGTCCCTATTACTCCCTAGGAACCTCTGGTCCATGCAGGCGGACGCCCATCCTACTACATTCGCTGAGCCCACTCTTGTTTCCAAGTCTTTGTATCCTCCCTTACAGCAGGAAGAGCACACACTCACTGCCTCCACTTCCCAACTCACTTAACCCACTGCACTCTGGTTTTACCCCCCAGCACCCTCTAAAAATTACTCTAAGAGCACCATGATTTATTAATCGCCACAGCCATCTTTCCTCATCATACTCTCTCTAGCACATAAAATTCTCACATTCCTCTCTTCTTGGAATTTTCTCTTCTCATAGTTTTTACGACACTGACTCAGTTCTATTTCTCTGACCATTTTTTTCTTTAATCTATAAACCAGTAGTTTTCAAGCCTTTCTGTTTAAATATCATTTGGAAATTTAAATTTCTGACTCCATTACAGGTTTACTGTACCAACCTCCAGGCTGTGAGGCCTAGGAATTTGTATCTCTCAGGGGTATCACATGTCCACTGGCTCTGACTATTCGGGTTCCCACACAAGCTCAGGCTTTTCTCATTCTGTGACCCTGTAATGTGTTCTCACATCTTACCTGAAACTCTGCTAGTCTTAGGTAATTACTCATTTAAACCTCCATGTATGAGTTTTAAAAACACCTCTTCATGGCAGAGGACTGTGTTAGATTCTTAAGGAATTTGAAAGAAGTTTAAGATAGTGTCTTTGTCAAAGAGCTTACAGCCTGATTCCTTCTTTAATTAAGTAAAAAGTGAGCGCTTATAATGTACCAGGCATTCAAAAGTATGAAGAATATGACACAGAAGCAAACAAAGGCACTTATATTGCAAAGAAAGGAGGCAATAAACACAGGAACTTTTAATATGTTAGGTACTGAAAAGTGCTAACTAGCTAAGGGGACTGAAGGCTATGGAAACGGAGAGTACTATTTTTTTTTTTTTTGGAGAGATTTTCACTGTAGGGCGCATGCGCTCGCCAGACAGACAGAGAGAGACATAGAGACAGAAAGCGAGAAATCACCCCCCAGGGGGGATGGTCACGCCGCAATCCCTTCTCCCCCATTCTCCTCTCAGGATCTTGGGCACGCACGCACACGCGCCCGGCGTGAGTTTTAAGCCACCGGGTCCGGGACACGAACCACAGTCAACTACGTGGGAGTCCAGCGACATAGCCATTACGCTAACTGCTGGTTCTCGAGAGTACTATTTTAGATAAAATGGTCAGGAAAGATCCTGTCAATAAAGAAACATTTGAGCACCGACTATGGGGGAGAACAAGAAGCAGATAAACAGCAAGTACAAAGGCCCTGAGTTATGTAGGTAAATTATGAAGTCTGAGATTCACTGAAGGCTTGGGGAGTGGGAGAGGCTTACAAGAAGAACTAGGAGAAAACAGCATTTTGGAAATGAATAAAATAGAGTATGCACCAAGTCTTCAAACGCCACTAAAATCAAGCAATGGTTTGAGGAGAATTGGTAAGAAAAAGTGTCACAAATATGAAAGACATAAGTCAGTTTTAAGAAAGAGGGAGATAGTGGGCAGTGTGAAATCCTAAACAAAAGACAAATGAAATAAGAGATTAAAAATGAGATATTGGGGAGCCAGCAGGTGGTGTGGTGGTTAAGGGCGCTGGACTCTCACATGGCCAACCACAGTTCAAGTTCCAGACTTGGCAGCTTACTTTCCTCTCTCTCTCTCGCTCTCTCTCTTTCTTTCTCTGTCCCTCTCTGGTCAAATTAAAATAAATAAATAAATAAAGTTAAATAAAATAATTCTTAAAAAAAAAAGTCTAAACCCATCTCCTAGACTCCCAAAAGATTCAGACAAGGTAGGATGACCTCTGTCCTCTCTGTCTCTGGCTGGCTGTCTCTCTGTCTGCCTCACGTTCTCTCTCCCTTTCTGTCTGTCTCACGCTCTCTCTGCCTTTAAATTTTTTAACTGTTTTTTTTTTTTTTTAATTTTTCAAGCCCCTCTCCTCAGCTTGGACCTTTTCTTTCACTTGTTAATTTCAGGAGCCATTTTAAAGCTGAGGTGTGTCCTGGTGTGTTTGCGCGGCGTGCTAGCGTACCACACGATTTTCACTTTTTACTCAATTTTGGTAGTATTTTTCTAGTTTTCTTTTTCTTTGTGCTTATATTTTTTAAGGTTACTCTAAGCTTCACTCTCCACACACTTAATGTCTAGATAGGCCTAGGTACACAGTATCTGAATTCTTTTAGAGTCATTGAAATCTTCAACGCTTATTGAACCTCCTGCTTTAACGAAGAAATTTCTTTCTATAAATCTGAACTCCTAATCTTACTGTTGATACCATATTGCTAAGCACTGCAGAGGACAGAATGACCAGAAACAACTGCAGAGGCACAGAAAACATGAGAAACCAAGAAAATATCTTTCTCCTTAGGGAAAAGAACAATACCTCATCATGTACAGACAGTACAGTAGAATTCTTGGAAATGTCTGATAGAGACTTCAGAATATTCATAGTGACAAAACTAAACGAGATGTAAGAGCTGAGAAATAATGAACTCCAGATGATGCAGGAGAAAAGAGACAATGAGTTCCAGGAGGTGCTGAAATTTTTTCATGATCTGAAAGAGGAAATACACACCATAAAAAAGAATCAAATGGAGCTATTAGAGATGAAGGCTGCAATACAGGAAATCAAAACGTCCCTCGAAAGTATTAAAAGATTAGTCCATGCAGAAAATTGAATCTCGGATGTGGAATGCAAAACCTCTGACCTAGGAAAAAACAACCAAAAATACTGAGAAAATAAGCCAAAAAAATGAGAATACTATACGAGAAATAGTAGACAGCATTAAGTGCCCAAACATTCGAATAATTGGTATCCCAGGAGGTGAGGAAACTAATAAAGGCATTGATAATCTACTCCTTGAAATCTTGGAAGAAAACTTTCCAAATCTAAAGAGGCATTCAAATATCCAGACCCAAGAAATACAAAGGACCCCTAACAGAATCAACCCAAGATATTCTCCAAGACACATCATAGCCAGACTGGTCAAATCTACAGACAAAGGCAAGATACTAAAATTGGCAAGAGAGAAATGTCAGGTTACTTCAGACCTCTCATCAGAAACAATGGGAAAATATATTCAAAGTGTTATACGAAAAACAGTTTCAACCAAGAATACTATACCCAGCAATATTATCTTTCATATGGAAAGAAAGAATAAAAACATTCTCCGATAAACAAGACTTGAAAGAATTTGCCAGTTACAGACCCACTCTTCAAGAAGTTCTGAAAGGAGTGCTCAACCAGTAAAACTAAAAGATACCTGAGTCCCAAAAAGGGGAGAAATGAAAACGGAATTGTGGAGTGACCAATCCCCGTGAAGGGGTGGGGTGCTTTAATCTCTCTCCCTGTCTCTCTTTCACTGGTGAGCACATACGCCCTCTGGCAAATTTCAAAAAGAAAAGGAGAGAAAAGTAAGAGACAGAAGGGTCCATGGGCTGTGTAAATTCAGAAGGCAGTAACCACAAATAGAAGAGACAAAAGCAGCAAGTTATCAGAGAGGCAAAGTGGAAAATTTCCAGTCCTGGAAGAGGGACCCTGGACCCTGAGAGAAGCAGTGAGCGGATGGCACAGAAGAGCCTGCCTGAGAAAGCTCAGGCCTCATCAACTCAGTAAAAGGTGCACTCATTAGCTGAGAGGGAGAGAAGGGGTGGTTAAAGTTGGGAGGACTTCACAACAGCCCCTGAGGTAAAGCCACTGGGAATCCAACAAAAAATAAAGGCTGCCACACTGAGAATACTAGAGCCAAGCTCTAAGAACAGCCACATCTAGAAATGACAATTTCCTCAGCGATTTGACAAGAAGAGGCTACTTACATGCTTTAGGTGCAAGTGTGCCTGGCTGGCAATGTCATATATGACATCTCTCACATTTTTATCTTTTTTCCTCCGTAGAAAGTCCTCCTGGGAGACGCCATGCTGTGTGGGAAAATATACACTATATTAGGAATTCAAACGCACACTTAAACCTAACTTAGCTCAGGAAAACAGGTGATAGGATAATATGTGCAATATAATGCCTATTTTGTTTTAAGAATATATATGTGTGCATATGTGCATATATATGTGTGTGTGCATACACACACACACACCTGGAATAGGCGATAACATATTAACAGATGCAAGTACAATAAAAATACACGAAACACACATACACATACACGCACACACACACACACAACACACACACACGGAGGTTGAAAAGAATGCACAATGCATCGCATACAGAAAACAAGAGTTCTTATGAACAGGATTTCTTTTTGACTGGACTACTTCCTCCACTAAAATAAAAACAGGCTATGATGAACATGAAAGGCATTGACATGAAACTATAGTCAAACAAAAGGACTTCAGAAAGTTTGTGAAAAATGCAATGGGGCCGGCAGGTGGCATGGTAGTTAAAGACGCTGGACTCCCACACGGCGGACCATGGTTCAAGTCTCGGATCTGGTGGCTTGCTTTCTCACTTCCTCTCTCTCCCTCTGTCTCTCTCTCTGATCAAATTGGAAAATAATGATAATAATAATAAATAAAGTTAAATAAAATAATTCTTAAAAAAAAATGCAATTAACGTTTAAGTTAAGTGGGGCCAGTAAATGGCATGGAGGTTAAGGCAGCTGGAATGCCAAACAGCTGCTACACAGTTCAAGTCCCAGATCCAGCAGCTTGAAAAATACACCAAGCATGTGTGTGTGTGTTTGTGTGTGTGTGTGTGTGTGTGCCCATACATGCCCCACATCCAGAGATAAAAGTGGAGAAGGGACTGCAGTGTGACTTTCTCCCATAGGGGGTGCTTTCTCACTTTCCTTCTCTCTGGCGACACTATAGCCAAAATCTTTAAAACAACAATAAAACTCCTCTGGGACCAGCCAGATGCCAGGTTTTTTGTTTGTTTGTTTGTTTTTAAGAATTATTTATTTTAACTTTATTATTCATTCATTTATTTTAATTTGGCCAGAGAGAGACAAAGAAAGGGAAAGTGAGAAAGCAAGCCACCAAGACCAGGACTTGAACCGTGGACAGTCATGTGGAAGTATCTATCACCTACTGACCCCCACAGGCTTATTTAAAAAAGAAAAAAGTACGGGTTAGGAACTGGGTGGTGGGGCAGTGGTAACACAACTGGACCCTCATAGGAAAGGCCCTAGCTTTACATTGTAGGACTGCTGAGATGCCAGCGTTGATAGCATGAAGACGCTGTTGGGGGTGCCTCTCTCTCTCTCTTTCTCTCTCTCTCTCTCTCTTTATAATATCCATTTTTCATGAACATGTTGAAGATCCTCCTACCTTCTTACTCAAAGCTCTTCCGGAGACCCTAAAATGCCTGTCATAAAATTCTGACTCAATAACCCTAGGTCCAAAAGAGGAAAACCATTTCAGGAAGCGATAAGCATTCTTTTCAAAGCAGACATGGCTGAACAGATAAAACAAAGAACCAGAGACAAAGCCCCCATGTTCCGAGGTAAATTATCAGAAGGTGCAAACTGCAGCCTTACCAGCATACAAATGTCCATGGGCAGGAACACCTTTCTTCTGCTCCCATGATAGGGCGCTGCTCTCAAGCATGTGACAATGCCTTGTGCTTTTCCAATGTGGCTTGCGGCATGATCTGCATGAAGATCCTTTATACCTGATTTTAGGAATTAAACAACAAGGTTGCTAAATTCTCTTTAAGTACATAACCAATCAGGAGAAAGAGCATGGAGATGGGGACAGCAGATGGTGTGGTGGTTAAGGCGCTATACTCCCACATCGCTAACCATGGTACAAGTCCCAGACCTGGTGGCTTACTTCCTCTCTTCTCTCTCTCTCTCTCTCTCTCTGGTGAGCAAACATGCCCTATAACAAACTTTAAAATAATAATAATAATAAATAAATAAAATTTTTAAATAATTTATAAAACAGAATATGGAGAAATCACCTAAACAAAACAAAAAAAGTCTTGAAAAACAGATGTCCATCCTATGTTTTATATCTGATTAAAAGAATTTAGGTCTCTCTCTCTCTCTCTCCTTTCTCTCTCTCTCTCTCTCTCTCTCTATATATATATATATTTTTTTTTTTTTACCCCCACTAGAGGGTGCACACACACACTGGAGAAAGAGAAGGAAAGTGAGAAAGCATCTCCCCACTGGCACCCCACATTGGGGGATGGCCACATCACAATTTCTCCTTGCAGGATTTTGGACACGCACACATCTATACCTGGTGTTTTTCAAGCTGCTTAATCTGATTCTATATGAATCACACAGTCAGTCATGGGGGATCCAGCTGCCTTCACCACCATGCCACTGGCTAGCCCTGAATCTCAACTTCATTAAATAAAAGTTTTTTTTCAGACAACAGCACGCCAAAAACACATTCTGAATTTTCATCAGATATCACAGAAAAACATTATGAGTCTTCCATTTCTCCTCAGCACAATTTCCACACAACATCATTTTAAGCACATCCCGGACTAACATTCTGTTCTTTGCTCCCTCCTTTCATTGTGATGGCGTGCGTGTCACCAAGGATGCAGGCAGAACAGGCCTAGAAATTCAATGGAGACTTGTATTATTCTTTTAGGGTGACACAGATATATAACCTAGATATAGAACCTTCTTCAAATGAGGTGGTATTGTCCTTGGTCCAAATAATTTCCTCATTACAGTAAGACCTTGCTAACTTGGAATACTGTCAGAGGAAGAAAAGTATCATTTAACTTTTCTTAAAAGATAGGAGGGGAGGGGGGCAGCAGGTGGCGTGGTAGTTGAGGTGCTGGATTACCACATGGTCAACTGTGGTTCAAGTCCCCAACCTGGTGACTTGAAAATCCCAACAAATAAATAGATAAATAAGTAATTTTTTTAAAGGAGGGGAGGAGAGAAAAATTTCATAAAAACTTTAATAAATATAATTTTATTTCTACTTTTTCTTTTACATGGCAAAGTTATTACTGACAGTGAGGAAAGAGTTAGGCTACAGATCTTTCAAACTGCAGGAGATGTGCTGGAAAAAGAGTAAAGCCATTTGCGATTATTGTAATATGAAGTATAGCATTCCCATAAGGTAGCTTAAGTACTTTTGTGAGAGCCCAAGTATATAATTAGCCTGCACTCCAAAGAAACAGATATACATATTTTTGCTTAGAAAAGAAAAGAAAAAAGAAACAAATAAAGATATTCCCTTAAAAGTCCTACAAAGAAAAACTTCAGTGCTAAACTAGCTAGACTGCCAAATTACAAAAGACTAAAATTGGGAAAAATGTTTTATTTGAAAAGTATGAAACAGAAGAACAACTTACCCAATACTTCTAGTGTTAAATAAAGAAGAGAGCTCTGTGTGTTTTCGGCATAATTTTCTAGTTCCTGGATATTACGGTATGCTTTGTCATCCAAATTTTTTTCCTAAAATTGAAGAAAATGCAAATCTAATTTGCGGAATTGCCAACATTTTATTGACAAAAGGCACTATGCTTTTGCCCGAAAGAACTGAATGATAGGGACCAGCAGTTGGCATAGCAGCTATGTCACTGGACTCCCATGCAGTCGACCATGGTTTGAGTCCTGGACCTGGTGGCTTAAACTCATGCCGGGAGCGTGTGCGTGCATGCCCAAGATCCCGAGAGGAGAATGGAGAAGAAGGGATTGTGGCGTGGCCATCCCCCCTGGGGGTTGATTTCTCACTTTCTGTCTCTCTGTCTTTCTGGCAAGCACACACGCCCTCTAGCAAAAATCTCTCTCAAAAAAAGAAGTGAATGATAAGGAATAAATATATAATTTCATATGTTTAGTACACTAAATGAGATTAAAATATTAAAGTTCTGAGGCTGGAAGGTGGTGTGATGGTTAAGGGCACTGGACTCCCACATGGCTGATCGCGGTTCAAATTCCAGACCTGGCGGCTTGCTTTCTCATTTTCCCCTCTCTCTCTCTCTCTCATGCTATCCCTCTCTGGTCAAATTAAAATAAGTAAGTAAATAAGTGAAGTTAAATAAATTAATTCTTTAAAAATAAAGTGAAAGTTCTAACGAGCCTCATGGGTAGCTTCTATCAAAAGGTTTGCATCTGGGGACCTCCCTGAACACTCTGGGTATACCAGAGCCCTGGATTGGGGTTGGCTGAGGCTGGGGGTGGACTGTGGTGTCAGGACCTGGTAAGGGGTACCTGTCTATTTCTCTGTCTTAGGGAAAAAAGAAATTTTTAAGAAAATTACAGTTCTACACATTTGATGATTACAAATCACCCTTCAAAATAATACTCAGGAGTAATCTTAAGGTACCTATCACCATGGACATGGTGGTAGCTTAACTTCTAATTCCTTCTAAAGCCTAATGTTTCAAGAGAAACGAACTTAAGCAGTTCAGATAGTCTCTTCTTACTCTAACAACTCCCTTCATTTTATAGATGAAGAACCTGAGGCACAGAAACATTAGGTAACATGTCCAAGACACACAGCTAATAAATGTTGGGGACAGGATTCAAATGCACACATTTAAACTCTTGTGCCCATCACATGATGAGGAAAAGGTACCTAGGAATGAAAGGAGAATGGTAACCAGCGTCTATCTCCCTTAAAAATTATTTATAATAAAAAACTTAAGCCTATTATCAGGGTAAAAATATTATCCCCTGACGGCTCTATCCCTTTTTTTTTCTAAATTGACCAGTGTGTATGCACTTGTCAGAGTAGAGAGAGAACAGAGGGGAGAAGGAGAAAGTAATCCCCAGTGGGGCACTGTCACTTAGCAATCCTTTCCCCTCTATTTCTCCATCTTGTCAGAACTTTCAGCATGCACACATATGTGCCGATGTGTTTTTCATCTCCCTGGAACTGGGATTCACACTGTGATCAGTCGTGTACAATCTTAACTATTAAGCTGCCAGGAGGCCGGATAATTGGCATTTCTATAGACTAGAGATACAGAGCTGCTTAGGATAGCCCTCTACTCCATTTTATTTATTTTTTAAAACAGGAGAAACAGTTTTTTGCTCTAATATTTAGGTCTTTAATATAGTTTAACTTTTTTATATGGTGTGAGGTAGGATCCAAATTCATTTTTTAACATGTGGGTATCCCTTTATGCCATTACCATTTGTTGAAAAGACTTCTTTCCTCATTGAATAGTCTTGACACCCTTGTCACTCAATTGAATATGAATATATGGGTTTATATCCATACTTTCATTTCTTTCCATTGATCTAATGTCTATCCTAAGCCAATACCACACAGCTTGCTTATTACACGTTTGTAGTTAACTTTTGAAATCAGGCAATGTGAGACCTCCAACTCTGTTCTTTGTCAAGGCTATTTCGGCTATTCTGAGTTCCTAGTATTTCCATATGAATTTTAGAATTAGCTCGTCAATTTCTGCAAAAAATGGATGCAGGAATTTTGATAAGGGTTGTATTAAAACCATAAATTTATTTTTAATTCCAGTCTTTTAAACACTCCCCACTTGAAGTATCAAATGTTATTTTTCATTAAAAACAACCAAAAAAAGGGCATCTTTGTCTTGAGTTATCTAATTTTCTTTACCTTACAAAAATAGGAGACATGAAAAGGTAGGTTTTCTTAGTGCTAATTCACTCTGAAGCCCAAATGCGCAATTCTCTTTTTAATGTCATTATTAGTATTTTGGGGGACTTATTATTGTAACTATTGCCTCTGGTTAATAGATTATATCTAAGTAAACTAAGTAAACTTACGTTGTCATGAAAACAGTATATGCTAATATCAGGTCAATGAGGACACTAACTCTGTGGTGTGTCAGAGAGATCATACAAGTCAGCCCAGGTAACAGCAATTTGCAGGCTGACCCAGAACTCCATTTGTTTTTTCCCCCTTTCTCCCTTTCCCTTCTTCCCTCCCCTTCTCTTTGCCTTCCTCCTTTCTTTAAGAGAAATTTTTGCTATAAGGTGCATGCCCATCAGAGAGACAGAAAGAGTGAGACAGAAAGTGAAAAATCATTCCCCAGGGGGTATGGCCATGCCACAATCGCTTCTTCTCCCTTCTTGAAATTTTGGACACGCACGCACATGTGCCCAGCGTTGAGTTTTAAGCCGCCAGATCCAAGACTCAAATCATGGTTGACTACGTGAGAGTCCAGTGACGTAACCATTACGACAACTGCTGGTCTCATCAGTTCTAAGATTCTAGTAATGGATTTCATTCACTTGAACTGACAGTTTCTTTATTCTCTGTACTATCTGGACAGAGATCCAAGTACTAGGGGTGTACACAAAAGTACGTGTATGACTGTGCATGTATTTAATGATATTAAGGAATCACTAGTAATTTTTTAAGGTATAAAATAGTACTGTGGCTATGTTTTTGGTTTGTTTCTTTTTTGTTTTTTGCTATAGGGCGCGTGCACTCGCCAGAAGGACAGAGAAAGACAGAAAGACAGAAAGCAAGAAATCACCCCCCAGTGGGGATGGCCACGCTGCAATCCCTTCTCTTCCATTCTCCTCTCAAGATCTTGGGCACACACACACACGCGCCTGGCATGAGTTTTAAGCCACTGAGTCTAGGACTCAAACCACGGTCAACTACATAGGAGTCCAGCGACATAGCCATTACGCCAACTGCTGGTCCCCTGTGGCTATATTTTTAAGTCTTTTTGTCTTTTAAGATATATATGCATCTGCAGATCAAATAATCTAAGGGGGATTAGTGAAAACAGATGGTATAACATAAATGAAGATTAAACAAGTGTTAATAATTACTAAAGCTGGGTAGCAGATACACAAAAGTTTATTTATAATATATTCTCACTACTTCTGTATAATTAGGAAAATTTCCATTTTTAAAAACCAAATAGGGGGAGTGCTCACTTCGGCAGCACATATACTAAAATTGGAAAGATACAGAGAAGATTAGCATGGCCCCTGCGCAAGGATGACACGCAAATTCGTGAGGCGTTCCATATTTTTTCCAACTGTGCCTGAAGCTAGTAAATCTCCCAGACTCTTCAGCTATGTGAACCAATAAATAGCCTCTTTTTTTTTCCTTCTTGTGTTACTTTGAGTTGGGTTTCTATTGCTTGAAATTGAGTCGTAATACAGTATTGCCACCAAATTTGACGGTTCCAAGCATTTATTAAACTAGAGGTCATGGTCACTGAAATTATTCTCCAAAGTGAATGAAAGAATGAAACGGGAACTAAGTATTTAAGTTACTGCAGAAGCATAAAAATTACATGGTAGGAAAAGAAGAAAACCTAAGTGTCCATCAGTAAAGGATTGAAATACGCTATGAGTTAGCCATATAAGAAAATCTGCAGATCTATTAAAATGAATAAAGTATATTGTGTATGGAAAAAAAAAAAACAAAAAACAAATAGGGGGGCCAGCCAATGGCATAATGGTTATATTGCTGGACTCCCACATGGCTGACTGCCATGAGTCCCACACCCAGCAGCCTGAAACAGGCCAGGAATGTTGTATATGTGTCCAAAGATCCCGAGAAGAAAAGAAATTGCAGCATGGCCATCCCTCCAGGATGGATGATTTCTTTCTCACTTTCTGTCTCTCTGTCCTTCTCTCTCCAGCAAGTGCACATGCTCTATTGCAAAAATCTCTTTAAAAAATAAGGGGCCAGCAGATGACATAGTTACGTCGCTAGACTCCCACACAGCTGACCACAGTTTTGAGTTCCAGACCCAGTGGCTTAAAATTCATTCCAGGCATGTGTACGTGCATGCCCAGGATCCTGGGAGGAGAATGGAAAGAAGGGATTGTGTCATGGCAATCCCCCTGAGGGGGGGTGATTTCTCACTTTCTCTCTCACTGTCTCTGTCTCTCCCTCTGGTGAGCATACACACCATAAGGCAAAAACCTCAATTAAAAAAAAAATAATAGAATGTGGTTATGCACACACAGGTCTCTGTCTGTCTTTGCCTATCTGCCTAGGTAGGAGAGCAAGGGTGGTGGTGGATGGCACATAGGGACCTGCCTCTGTATAAAACAGCAGTTATTGGGCCAGCGAGTGGTACAGTGGTCAAGGCACTGGACTTCCACATAGCTGACTATAGTTTGAGTCCTGAACCTGGCAGCTTGAAAATCATGTGGGGTATGTGGTTCATGCAGGCCCAAAATCCCAGTAGGAAATGGAACTGTGGTGTGGCCATCCCCCGAGGGAGTGATTTCTCATTTTCCCTCTCACTGTCTCTTCTGGTGTGTCCATGTGCCCTATGGCAAAAACCTTTTAAAAAAAGGGCATAGTTCTCTACAAGTTTCCTTGCTCTAAAACATTAATATATATACTGAAACATTTCTGCCCTAAGACTTAGCTTAGAAAGGAAAAGAAAAACTTAAAGAGTTGAAAAACTTCAACTTACTCTTTCATCAATGATTTTCATAAGCCATCTTTTAGTCAAGTTATGTCTTCTGACAGCCTAAGAAAACAAGCATACTGTAAGTTTTTACAAAGTACTAGACATGAATTTGGCAGATCTGAATAAACAAACCAAATACAAAACTAGGTGGGAATATTTGAAATAACTTGTCACCAGAGAGAAAGCTGTGTTAAAAGAAAATTTACGGGCAAATAAAATGGCCTAGAAAACATTTCAAAACATTTCCAAGTAAAGATAATTTTTCTAATACTTTTCTACTAACCTCTTTGTTTTTCTGTACTATCAGTAATTGAATGATTCTACTTTCAAAAAACACAAAACAAAAATTAAATACCAAACTCATCTGTTATGTGACTTACCCCAACTTCTACATTTACTTATTACAATCTTTTCCCATAGGATAAAAAAAAATTTTTTTTCATTTGCTAGAGGGCATGTGCACTCACTGGAGAGAGAAGAGAGAAAAGGAAAGAAAGCACTCCCCACGGGGACAGTCATGACAATCCCTTTTCCTCCATTTCCCCTTTTAGTATTTTGGGCATGCATGTACACATGACTGGCAAGCCACCACATCTGGGACTTGAACCATGCTGTTAGCCATGTGAGACCCAGCTGCCTTAACCACCAAGCCACTATCTGGCCCAGGATAAAGGTTCTATTTGGCAAAAACAAAACAAAACAAAACAAAACAAAACAAAATGCCAAACACTTCTCCAAAAATGAAGAGAGTTACTAACCCTTGAACAAAAATCGCCTGCAGGGGAACTCGTTATCTTAACTAGTAAAGACACCCCACTAGGAAAGAGCACGAGTGCCCTGATCGTGGTCTCTAACACCACTTCCCTCATAGGAACTGGGGCACTAGACAAAGAGGGGATTCAGAGCTGGGACGAGGAAGGTTCAAGATCATCCTGGAGTATCTCACTGCGCCAGAAAGTAAGAAAGTGTTCACGAAAGTGATGGAGGCACATCATGTGGACAGAGGAACCAGTTCAAAGGGGTCCCCACTGTCCAAATCTGTACAACTTGAATAAAAAAAAAAAAATAAAGTACAATAATAAATTATAAACTACCAGGGAAAAACCCAGAACAAGTCCACACTAATAATAAGCAAATACACAATTATAGGCGAGAGCTTGCTCTTTTAGCAGAATGCCAAGTGTCAAAGGTAAACATGGACAGTGCTCTGGGGTTGGGATATTATCATGTTGCGACCAGAACAGTAAAGAAAGAATCATACAAGAACCAACAATGACTGCTTAGTTTAGAAAATTTATTTAATAAACTTTTTTTTAAATTTAACTTTATTCATTTTATTTATTTATTTGTTTGTTTATTTTGACCAGAGAGAGAAAGGAAGTGAGAAAGCAAGCCACCAGGTCTGGGAAAACTGCGGTTGGCCATGCGGAGTGTCTAACACTTTAACCACTACACCACCTGCTGTTCCCTAAACTTTTTTTTTTTTTAACTTCATTTATTTATTTTAATTTGACCAGAGAGGGACAGGGTGAGGGGTTGGAAGGGTGGGGTAGCAAGAAAACAAGCTGCCAGGTCCAGGATTTGAACTGCAGTCAGCCATGTGGGAGTTTGAAGCCCTTAACTACCATGCCACCTGCCAGCTCCAGTTTAGAACATTTTGATGAGGACTAGGATATTTGCATAGTCTTAAAAGGGTCTCCTTAAAGAAAGTTGACTAATAGCAAAGGGACCAGACCAACAAATGGTATAATGGTTATGTCACTGGACTCCCACATAGTGGATCTAGAGGCTTCAAACTAATGTATCTCAAGAGGAGAATCGAGGAGAAAGGATTATGGCATGGCCATCCCCTCTGAGGAGTGATTTCTCGCTTTCTGTCTCTGTCTATCTGGGGACCATAAGTGCCCTATAGCAAAAATCTCTCCTCCCTCAAAAAAAAAAAAACACTAAAAAACTAATAGCAAAGGTAGTTATAATTACACAGTAGGAAGATAAGGCAACATCTTGAATGGGTAATGAAAATTAACAAAACCAATAAAGAACAGATAGACAGCGGGTCCATCTGATGTGGTAACTTCAGAAGGACGTTTCACCTAGCCAAGAATCAACACCCCAATCTAATCATGAGAAAACATCAGACAAATCCAAAATGAAAGTCCTACTTACCCCCCACCCCCAAAAGTGAAGGGGGCTATGCTCTTTAAAACTGTCAACATCTGGGACCAGCAGATGGTTTAATGATTAAGTCGCTGGATTCCCACATAGTCGACCACGGTTTGAGCCCTGGACCCAGCAGCTTAAAACACACCAGGCACATGTACGTGCATGCCCAAAATCCCGAAAGGAGAATGGAGAAGGGATTGTGACATGGCCATCCTCCCAGGGGTGATTTCTTACTTTCTGTCTCTCTGGTGAGCACTTGCACCCTATAGCAAAAATCTCTTAAAAATAAAAAGTAAAGGTCATAAAAGTCAAAGAGAAGCTATGGAAATGTTCTAGATAAAAGAAAGCTAAAGAGAGGCCAGCAGGTACATAGTGGTTGGGGCTCTGGACTCCCACATAGCTGACTATGGTTCCCAGACCTGGCGGCTTGAAACACACACCAGGTACACGTGTATACATGCTCAGAATCCTGAGAATGGAAGAGGAGGGATTACAGTGTGGTCATCCCCCCTGAGGGGTGATGTCTCACTTCTTCTCTCTTTGTCTCTCTGGCAAACAAATGTATCCTATAGCAAAAATCTCTCAATAAAAGAAAAAAAAGTAAGCAAAAGAGACAACTAAATACTTGTTAAGACCCTATAGAGGGAGGAAATGCTATAGTGGACATAATCAGGTCAACAGATAAAATTAAAATATGAATGGAAAATTAGAAAAAAAGTGTTGTTATCAAAGTTAAATTTACTAAAGTCAGTAATTGTTCTCGGGAGTGGGTGTGGTGGGATGCTGCTGCACAACACTGGAGCTTCATGAGAAGGCCCAGGGTTTGGATCCAGGGTTGAGCACTTCTAGGGCGCCAGTGATCCTAGCTGGCTAAAAGGATACTTACACAGGCAGAATCACAGCATGGCAAGACCCTATTGTGCTCGCTCTCTCTCTCTCTCTCTCTCTCTCTCATGAAACAAAGAAATGCTTTTAAAACGTTGGCTCAAGGGGCTGGAAAGTGACATGGTGTTTAAGGGCACTGGACTCCCACATGGCCAACTGCGGTTCGAGTCCCGGACCTGGCAGCTTGCTTTCTCACTTTCTCTTTCTCAATCTCTTTTTCACTCTGGTTAAATTAAAAAATAAATAAATAAATAATGTTTAAAAAAATAATTCTTTTTTTTTTTTTGAGAGATTTTCACTGTAGGGCGCGTGCGCTCGCCAGACAGACAGAGAGAGACATAGAGACAGAAAGCGAGAAATCACCCCCCAGGGGGGATGGTCACGCCACAATCCCTTCTCCTCCATTCTCCTCTCGGGATCTTGGGCACGCACGCACACGCGCCCGGCGTGAGTTTTAAGCCACCGGGTC